ATTGGGAGTAAAGTTAAGCCTGGGAAGAAGGGAGGGGTGGGGGGAAGGTGTTTTAAGATTTGGGTTTTATTTCTCATTACCTTACCCTGGTTTGATTGGTAATAAATTAAACTGATTTCCCAAGTTGAATCTGTTTTGCCCATGACAGTAACTGGTGGAAGATCTCTCCCTGTCTTTATCTCGGCCCATGGGCTTTTTGTTATATTTTGTCTCCCCCTGTACAGTTGAAGAGGAGGAGTTATAGAGTGGCTTTGGTGGGCACCTGGTGTCCAGCCAGGGTCAACCCCCCACAAGAAAGTAGGTAAGTTGTAGAGTCCTGGTAAGAAATTCTGTTTATGGTTATCCTATACTGTGCAACAGAGCATAGGACAAACAACCTGTTGGTTCTGAAATTAGAGGATGTATAGCTCGGATTAATGTTAGTATGTTGCTTTTGAGACATGAGCTAATATCTTTCTGCATTTGATGCCCTATGTCAGGCGTATGGAGAGTAATTCATCAAATGTCCATTTTATTTCAATAGAATTTCTGTGTGCAGAAAAGGGTGAAAATACGCCGATTGCCTTCTACAGCAAGATTCTTCTCTGTCCCAGTTTTCTCTCCTCGGTTTGTTTCTGGGCAGGGATTGCTCCATGCTTCAGTATTGTCACTGATTTATGACTACGAAGAACTATGAAGGCATCTTTTGTCTTTCTTTGTCAAAAGTATTACATTCGCTAACTTCCACGTCTCCTAGGATGTTCTTGTTTTTATTTATTCCTTTGCCATAAAATTGTTTCCCCCTCTCATTTCCTTTAAGTTTCATTCCAGATTTGAATTTCTCTTTTAGGAGTGAGTGGTGGCTTTTTCTTAGTTTTGTCCATCTGTGAAGGGTATCCCTGAAAAACTGCATAAAAGACATCTCTGTGAAGATATAGGTCAACATAATAAATGAGAACTTGCATCAAAGCTTGCACCTTGACTGGAGGAAGCAAGGAAGAATAAAGATGTAAGACAATGCAATTTCCAAGCTTATACAAACTCAAAAAAACCCAAACAAACAAACAAAAAAAACCCACACCTTTCCACTTCTGAGTGTTTAATTGGGATTTTAGAAAAATATATAATATCTCACAAACGAGTGAACTGATTGCTTAATCTGGCTGCTAGTTGCTCCTCCTTGATGCAGGCAAATTTACTGCTTTGTCTGTCAGTCTTGAAATAACCATGCCTTGACTTGGAATATGCACCTTGTTCACCCAGGCAGATGCATCTAGCCACAAGTTCTCAAAGGGCCAATAAGAGAGAAATCTATCTGAACGGAAGCAATACTTAAATGTAATAATCCGTGTATGTGCAGAACCATGTATACACTAATTGAAGTGCACTAACATTACTGTTTCTCTTGGGAAATTACTGTAGATATTACTGTTCTACTTAATTCCTTACCTTTTGAATTACTGGAAAGTAGTTCTTATGGAGAAATGCAGCGGCTTTTGTGTTACATTTTTCTGTGTTAGCCCTGCTACTTGATGGGTTCTACATTGCCCTTCGTGACTCCTTTTGTTTGGAGACAAGATTTATTTTTCTTTTTGTCTCCAAATAGCAAGGAAAAATGACTAGCTTCACTAAATGTGATAGTAACATAACACACTTCAAAAATTAAGGAAAAAGTTGTTGGGTTTTGTTTGTTTTTTTTTTTTTTTTTAAAGAGGATTTCTGTTTGGTGATATGCCTGGTTTTTTTACAGGATTTCCCACTGT